CTCCAGTGGGAATTGAACTTGTACTCAACCGCTTGGGGGTGTGACAACTTCACCACTTCACTAAGTCGCCACACCCTCTGTAATGAATTTTTATCAAGTTTTTCTAATCATAATTATAGCAGATTTCCAGAAAAGTTGGTTCATGATCAGACATGGAAAGAATCTGAAGAGAAAATTTTATCTGTTGTAAATGAAAATTTTAATACTATGAAAGACGTTTGGAATAATTCAGCTCTTAACTTCAAAGTAGCTGGAATGTTAAATGAGAGAACTTATCAATCTACCATCATTGTACCATTTATTCAAGCTGTACTAAAAGATTTTCCCTTTAGATCTTCATTTATTAGCACATCAGAAAGAGAAAGTGCTGCTAGTGCGGATAGAAAAGGAAACGGTCAAGCGAAAAGACGTCCAGATGTCATGTTTATGGTGAAACATTTGGATATGCTCTTCGAAATTATGTATGTTGAATGCTTGAGATTGGTTTGTACACCTCAAAAAACGATAGATGATAATGTTAAGTTATGGAAAGAATGTAATGATGGTATATATTATACATGAAAAACTCTTAATCCTGAAAAAGAGCAATTTGAAATTGTTGGGATACAAGTAGCAGGAGATACTTTACATCTAAATGTTCTTATCAGGGATCAAACGAATGTTAATAGATATTATAATATAGAATCAGCAAAAATCCCTGTGCAAAAATCATAAGAGACCGCTGTAATTAAATTTGTAGAAACCCTTCTCCTTTTACGTAACATAGTAATTACAAATTTGTCTTTACTATATCATGGATCAGTATGTATATCTGAAAGACAAAAGAAAGACAGTACGACTGTAAATTCTGAATAATATTCATTCTTTCTTATATTTTATTATCATATCAATAAAAATTAAAATCTGGCAGTCTGATTTCGTATAAATAGGGCATTTTTGAAATTTATTGCTATTGATGTTATATAATCGTAAATTTTGCACTATATATTAGGGCACAGAAGGTGGTTTCATAGTGATCTTATTGGCGTAAATTATTCAAAAAAATCTGATTAGTGCACTTGCGACTAATACCCTAGTCATGGGGACAAATTTTTTGTTAAATGAGATTCTACTTGAACAGTTCTGATTAGACGAAATTATTATACATTCCTATAGAATCAAAATAACAAAAAAATAATCACTTTTAGGTAATTTGGTTGTCGAGGTATCGTAGCTCAAGGTTCAGAAAAAATGTCACAACTTTCGTGTTTAATTATGCATTGATCTACTTATTGCATAAATCGTATTCTTGATATTTTTGTAAATCACTAACTATAAATGTATCAAAAAAAGTAATCCTAACACTGAACACGTAGCTATAATACTGATGTAATTTACTTGAAATAGAAATATTATATTGTAGAATTTTCCATAGCATATCACACAATAGAAAAGATTTTTTTTATTTGAAAATATAATTTTTTTTATTTTTTTA